GTGATCAGTGTGCATCTGAAACTTGTAGAAAGAAAGTTTTTGCTCATTTCCCCTGAGGAGCTCTGTAGTTAATCATGAACAATTTTTGGGGGGAATATTTTTTCTTCCTCTTTTAAGATTTGCTGTTGTTGTTCGAGTCTCGTCTTGTCTCTAATGACTCCCTTGAAAATGAGATGATTCATCTCTGTCCATGGAGGTCTATCCATGAATTCTGGAAGAAATTTGGAGCTACCAGATAATTATTTTAAAGCTTTCAGACTTCCTCCGAAGTTTCTGTCTTTTCTATCTCGGGGGTTAAAAGTCAGCAGATTCCTCAGCCAACATGGAATTATTTGCTCTCTAACTGAATTTGAAGCGTTTTCTAGGCTGCGGGAAACAATCACGTCGATTCATGTACCCCCGGACACACTCTCCTCCTCTTCCTCTCACCACCATTCCACATGCAAAGACTGAAAAACACGCCTTGTCTGTCCAAACACATACCATCTGTATTGGACAATGCATGGATTTTAAATTGGAGGTCCTGCACACTGAGACAGAATGTACAGCGAGACATTCAGGAAAACAGGAAGGGTGAGAACAGATCTGTGGTTTCATACTGTATGTGTGGGGAAAAAACGTTTTTTCTTTAACTCTTTAAAGTCGTGTTAAAAACAAAACATTTACTCATTTGGCAGACGCTTTTATCCATGTGACATTTAGGAACAACATACAATCATTAACAGAGCATAATATACAGCACGAGATCTACAGCTGACAATACATATTAATAAAAGCAGCAATAAACACTAGTAAGCGCTAATGGCACTGGGAGACCTGCTAGGAGGGCAGAGAGGTAACCACGGCCTGTACCAGAAGCTGGGTGGCGTACTGAGTGAGGTAGGGCCTGATTTTCCTTATGTTGTATAGAGCAAAGCGGCACGACCGAGAGACAGCAGCAACATGGTCTGAAAAGGACAGCTGGTCATCAATCACGGCACCCAAGTGTCTCTCCACCCTGGTTGGAGTGATGGTTGAGGAGCCGATTTGTAGTTTGATGTTATGGTGGATAGATTGCTTGGCTGGAATGACCAAGAGTTCAGTCTTAGAGAGGTTTAGTTGAAGGTGGCGAGCCTTCATCCAAGCAGATATGTCCGATAGACAGTCCGTAATCCGTGCCGAGATGCTGGGGACGTCTGGCGGGAAGGATAGGTAGTGTTGCATGTCGTCTGTGTAGCAGTGGTAAGAGAAGCCTTGAGAGTAAATGATCGGTCCCAGTGAGGTGGTGTAGATTGAGAAGAGAAGGGGCCCAAGCACTGAGCCTTGGGGTACCCCTGTGGAGAGGCAGTGGGAGGAGGATAATTGTCCTTGCCACAAAACATTGTAGGAACGCCCCGAGAGGTAGGATTCGAAGCACAGGAGTGCTTTACTCGAGATGCCCATTGCTGAAAGTGCAGATAGGAGGATCGTGTGATTGACTGTGTCAAAGGCAGCTGATAGGTCAAGCAGGATAAGGACCGAGGATTGGGCTTCAGCTTTAGCTGACCTTAGGGCTTCTGTTACAGACAGAAGAGCCGTTTCAGTAGAGTGGGCAGTTTTGGCAGCACTGATGCTTGTTGAGAGGAGGATAGGAGCAATTGGTAGCCCTTAAGGTCGGCGGGGTTTTTGGTTTTTTGCCATTTTCTTTCAGCGGCTCTGAGATCAGTACGGAGCCCACGGATGGTATCAGTTAGCCACGGGTGGGACTGGTTCGAGTGGGCAGGCTTGGTGGACAGAGGACACAGGCTATCCAGGCAAAACGTTTACTAAAAATAGGGGTTTTCATCTATTGGTTTGGTCTGGTGATTTTTAAGAAAAAGCTGGAACTTTGTTTCATTTTTTTTTCCCTAGAAGACGATTTTCTTGGGGGAAGAACTCATTCAGTTTTTTTTAACGCCACGGGCCTCAAATTTAGAACTTAAAAGTGAATGAAACAGTTCATCTCTGTCTTCTCATGATTCCATAGAAGGAAGTTCTTTATATGTATATATATTTTTTTTTAATGAGCAGATATTAGAATAGTCTTTATCCCAGCTGCAGGCCTGTGGGTTCTCTGAACAGATGGAACGCTTTAATTTGCTGTTTTTATTCATTCATTAACTGGATCACCAGCAGAGAGCGCGCACACACACACACACATATTTATATGTATATGCAAAGACACACCCACCCACATATATGTACACAAGCAAGAGAAAAGTCACACAAATGAGCAAGAAACACACACATGTAGAACAAGATGTGCACAGGAATGTCTCACATACAACTCTTGACAGTTGTTGAGTGTGACACATGGAGAAGAGCTACACTTTAAAGTTCACATCCAGATTTTGACTTCAGCACACACATCCCTCTGATGCTATTACTCAGCAGTGCATTAAAATGTCAGATTTATGTTTTCTTTGATCACATCTTCCTGATTTAAATCCTATTTTTGTTTTAGTTATACAAAGTGCTTCTGCATCTGATTGTAATTTAACACAATTTAACAGTTTGTTGAATGAAAAACTTTAAAAGGAAGATACCGAAAAAGTTTGGCACTCAAGATCGGCACTAGTATCGAACACAATAAAAAAGATTTTTTAAAACAGCTGTACTTTAACTGTTACTGAGACACATCATTGGCTGCTTTTAACTTCTGAGCTTCAAATATCTCTACAAATATAACATCTCATATCCACTGGAATACTTCCTGCCTTTTAATCTAACGTGTGTCTGTTAGTTTTTTATTGAACCGTTGAGGTTTCCTTTAAGTTTCCAAATTCAAAATGACTGCAAAAACCCAACACGTTCTCAGTCACCAAAAAGAAACTTGGTTTAGAAATTAGAATAGAATAAATTGTGGTTTGGGGAAAAATAACTACTTTACTGACTTAACGTTTAGTGACGTCAGTACTTTAAAGTTAAGTATGCAACTTACATAACCAACAGGACTTAACTAAAAATCAATGTTGACTTTTTGTTTCACCCGGGAAACAAACACTGGTCTCCTGGGTGAAAGTCTATCCATCCCGACCACCTCTTTCCTGACTTTTCTGTATTTCTATCCTACGCTTTGAGTGTTCATAAATCATGCCACAGGGTCTTTTTATGTAAAGATTTACTTAATAAGAGTGAGTGAGAACAATAGGCTACATGAAACTATGTTCTCTTATTTGCTCGACTGACGCACTGAAAACAGCATCAATTTAAATGTAATGTGGAGTGTAAATATGATTCCTGATTAAACAGTTCAACATATTTGAGGCGTTCCTCTGTAGAAACAGATCTCTGTTTATTATCCTGAATCTGGTTCTTTGTGTGTGCGCAGCAAAGGATCTTAAATTGTGTGTTTTTTTGCGGACTTAAGGGAAAATCAGTCAAACGGCTGTTTGTTTCTTCAGAAAGGCTTTAAGCCTGTAATACTCAGAGGCGATTTATTTTACACAGCAGTAGGCCTGTTCATTTCAGACCGTTTCATCCTTCTGCCATGTGAGGCGCCGTTTCTCTGCTCTCCTCTTTATGTGCGTACGCATGGTTCAGAGTTTACTTACAGGACGCACATTCTCCCGTCAGGTCTGTTTTTTATAGATCCCACCTTTGCTTGGGAAGTGGCGTACGCACGTTTCCAGCCCTGTTTTGTACTTACGCAGCGTTTAGAAATGAGAGCCCCGCTCTGAAAAATGTGACAACATAACCAAGGTTTTAAGGTTAGGGAAAAGATTGTCTGTATAGAACCACATTTCTGCAAGGAAACCCAGTAAAATAGAAAGTTATTCATGATAGAAATAAAGATAACTAAAGATTTGGTTGATAAACGCTGATGGATTCTCCTGATACATTCAGAGAAATCTAATGCAAAACTGACAAAATGATGTAGAAAATACAAACGTTTCATTTTATTGTCTTCAAACACATGTACAAAAGCAAGAACATTTGATTGGACGTGATATCTGTTTTTTTAATATTAAACAATGATCAACAAAATAATTAGACAATAAAAAGTGAAATGTTTTAGATGCAGTTGACTTATCAAGTTCCCTTTTATTTAGGACATTGTCAGACCTCTGAAAGCCTTAAAATGTACGTTTTCACCATCATCATAATGCAGCCGGCTAAAGTCAAGTTTAACCGTTTTTTTTTTAGGGAACGTGAACTGACATATTCCCCTGAGAAAGTCAGTCATGAAACTACATCATAAATTCAAAAATGTCCAATCATCATATGACAAAAGCAGGTCAAACCACAGCCTGTGAGGACGCACTGGGTGTCTGAACCAAAGCTAAATTCACAGCCGCTGGTTTACCGAAACTCTCCAGTCACTTAAAACACAATAAAGCAGACAGCGCCTTCTTAAAGCTGGTGCGTGACATCGATGACACTGTTAGTGGACGGAAAAAGATATATCATTAAACACTTCCCTTTCAGACCTTTGTTATAAAATATCTTAAATCGATTTGAAGTGCTATCACGATGTAACAAGGCAGGTAGTGATTTAAATTACGTACAAAACACTTCATAATTATGACATGAATGGCATCAAACAAAGCAGTCATTTATGGAAAAGCTTGTCAGCTGCATGCAATGCGTTAGCTTTAGCTACATTAGCACTGATAGCAGTTTAAAGATATATCATATGTAAGCCTCATTAAATGTTTTACATAATAACGTGAGTAATGAAAGTGTTGTTGAACGTGACCTCCCTACAGCGCTAGTGCTGCGTTTCTATCTGGAAAAACAGAAATAAACAACCCTACAAGTCAGACTTCAGACTAAGACACATTCTCATTGGTCAAACCCATCAGTGTTTAGAATATAAAAATAAAATAACAATGTCAAATACTGGGTAAACAGTGTATATACTTCTATTATTTACCCTCATAAGGCATTCAACTTTCCTGCAACACCAAAGCTAACACTAAACCCAGTACTAGTGTGGATCTTTAACCAGACGATACTACAAATGCTTTCACTGAGCAAAAATGACAATCTAAGATAACACATTGTGTGTTACATACTGTGTTTAATGGACATGAGGATTATAGGAAAGAACTACACGCAGAATGAAAGCTGGAATTGACAGGAGCAAGGTACCGGGTGTGGAGTGAAAAAAAGAAAAGGAGCTTATTGTATACATCATGATCAGTGACCGAGTGTTTTTTTTTCTTGAATCATAGTCTTTTTTCCAGCTTTCAGGAGTTTAAAAATGTTAAGCAAATGGCTGATTTTATCACAATGTACCATCGACTGTTACCAGCTGCCATCAGGACTCTAGTTTCCACTTCAAATGACTAATTAATAAATAGGTCAAGGATGAACATTATTTCAGATGTGTCCAATGCAATCAAAGAATTCTTTCTTGATGCTGCCTCTTTTTTTCTTCTTTTTTGAAATGATGTAAACAGCACAGAAACATGCTGGGATGGTCTCACTTTACTGGCCAAACATTTATGTTTTAAGAAAAAAACATCTTTCCCCCCCTTTTTCAGTGACACTCAGACCTTTCAGGACATTTCACTCGTGCTTCTTCTTAACTGTCGGGAGAAAAATAGTAACAGCTGTGGTTAAAACCATTAACTGATGCCTATCGTTGACAGTTACATCCCTAGAACAATAAAGCTGCCCGAGTTTAACCCGTACAGGAGCTAATTTGTAGTTAGCTTCATGGATAATGATGGAAATTAACATTGGAAAATGGGCAGAACTGCTGTTTCGGAGGTTGCGGAAGCACGTTTGACCTCAGTGCTGACCTTGACTCGAGGTCTAATTATCTGTCTTCATCCTGCATTCCCTGCAGATTTCTGGCAGAGATCTTTGATGTCTGAGTCGAGCTTGTGGGTTAATTGAAATGAGCGAATTGTCTAGATTGTCATGATGAGTTGCAAACCTCCGTTCTGCAGAGCCTGAGGAAAGTGCTTTGTCCGAACTCATGAGGGTGGTCTTCATGTAGGCGGGGGTCCGTTGACGTAGCTCAGTGCTAGGTGGAAGCCACGTGGGAACCTGCTGCTGCGGTGACACGGCGGCTCCAGGATGACCCAGATCAGGCAGGCCAGGAGAGCCAGCGCTGCAACCAGAAGGACGTAGAGGAGGGCCGGGGAGAGCAGAGAGGAAGGGGCCCTGCTGCTGGAGGTCAGACTGTGGAGGAGGACAAGGAGGTGGAGATTGGAGGTTTGCATGTTATGGGGGACAGAACTGTCCAGACACCGGAATGGTTTGAGGCGTTTATCAAACCATGTGTGGACATTTATAGCCGAGACCAACAGGTCCTCCCCTCAGGGCCTCCCAAAACGATGAGCGTTTCCCAAACCAGTCCAGCGACAGGCCACCGGACCTTAACCACATTATGAAAGTCACACGAAATCAAACACGTGGTAAACGTAGAGAAACAGTCATAGTTTGGTTAACCAACGAAGGTTAAAGTCAAGGGCAACCGGACATAAGAGGTTGTGAAAGGGTGGCCAGTCAAATAAAAAAGTATGTTTTTTTCTGGGTATTTGTTGGTTTTAGTAATTTCTGGAAGTTTACATTCTACAGTTTAAGACCAACTAAATTTACATGAATAAGTAAGTAAATATTTGGGGTCAGGGTTAATAAAATAGAGGTAGTTCTGAGACGCTTCTGATTTCCTTAAAAAGTAGCCCATTTTAATACAACTTGTAGAAAAGATGAGCCAACTCAATAAATAAAACATGGAAAATATAAATAATTAAAACATTTTAGGAACTTTCTTCTTGGCGTCTGCAGGTTGACGGGATGAGTGATGAGATAATTTTCTCATGGTTATTTCTAAAATCCTGGCGATGGCCATGGTCCCTTCACACATACTGTATTTTGTTATTTTGAGTTCATACTATGTATTTTAATTTCGGCAGCACCTTAATGCTGGTCAACATTTAATCACTCAGTTGCTTTACTGGAAAACTTGGCTCCACTACATAATAATTGGAATAATTATATATGTATAATCAATTAAATAATTATATAATTTGTATGTCACACAGACGCAGGGAGAGCCTGTCTTACAGTCCGGTGAAGATTGATGCCACAAACAGAGAACACTAATGAACTGATCAAAAACACGTTTGTTCGCCACTGACCTTCTGTGCTTTTGCTTACACGTCTTCTTCACCTTTACATCTTTAATTGCTCCATCTGCACACAACTCTGAGGGTTTTAACTTTTTTCTCACCTTTGTTCGGAGAGAAGACACTCAGCTTCTTCACAAGCGGGCCGCTCTTCTTCTGCCTGAAGAACAGAGAGCTTCTGTTGATCCGCAGTGGTTTCAGGCAACATTTCTTAATCTGCCTTTACACAAGAGTTTATTTCTTCCCTGAGGACATTACTAACACTACTTTACTACTACATCTACCGATCAGCCATAACATTATGACCACTTGCTGGTCCCTGACCCGTCAAGGCCTGGACTCCACTGTGTGTGCTCTGATTGTTCTAACGCCTTTCTATCAGAACCAGCTTCAACTTCTTCAGCAGTTTGACCTACAGTAGCTCGTCTGGTGGATCGGACCACACGGGCCGGCCTTCATCAATGACACTTGGCCGTCCATGACTCTGATGCCGCTTTTCCTTCCTTGGACCACTTCCGATAGGTACTGACCCCTGCAGACTATTTTGGAGACGCTCTGACCCAGTCGTCTAGAAAGTCAGTTTGGTCCTCTTCAAGGCCGCTCAAATCCTCACGCTGCCCATTTTTCCTGCCTCTAACTCATCAACTGTGAGGACACAATGTTCACCTGCTGCCCGATCAGCCGTAACATCCCACCCACTGACAGGTGCCATGGTAACCAGATAATCAGTGTTATTTCCTTCCCCTGTCAGTGTTCAGGATATTACGGCTGATCGGTTTTTTTAAGGTTATTTTCTTCCATCAAAATATCAATACCAAATGAATTTTTGACACTTTTATCATTGTGAAATGATGAAATCTTGTCTCAGGACCGTGTTGTGTCTCTTTCAAAGAAAGCTGAAACAAGCCCTGTGATTTACCTTTATATTCAAAACCAAGATACTAACTGACACCACTCACCTGAGGATTTGATGGATTTTGGTGCTTCATCCAATCAGACAAGGCGTTTAGATCTTGTGACGGTGAAGAGGAGGGTGCCAGGAGAGGCTGTTGGCTGTTGTTGAGATGAGGAGGCAGCTGGTTGAGTGCGTCGATGTGGCTTTCGTGCAGGTAACCCTGTAACATAACAGTAAATAACTTCGCACCTCTATAACGAGAGAAGGTACGTCGGAGGGGGACAGGAGAGTCAAAAGTAGCAAAGAAAAACTCCTACACACTGTCTAACTTGCAAAAAATATATATTGACCTTTCGTACTAGACCATCAGGCAAATGGTGTTACATAGTGAGAAGCCATCTTTTGTAGGAGGTGACTTCTTCATCTCCGAACGTTGTGTCAATATAAACTCTTTCCCCCAGTCTTTTTCAACAATGTTTTTATTCACGTTAAGAAGAGACAATACAAAGTTGACATTCAAGATAAATTATCTTGGTGTAAGAACCAACCACCCCCCCACCGCCGCACCCCAAAAAACAAAAAAACCCCAACAACAAGTAAATCAATAATACAATAAAATAACAAATAATAAATAGTAAATAAACGTGACACATATAGTAATAATGATGTCAGACTACCAGGGCCTAATTGTCATCTTCAGCACATTAGGTTTGGGGCAGGGACTTAAGTCCTTCAAAGTACAGCAACACGGGGTTCCAAGTTCCCGAATAGTATACTTTATCTTCTCCAATTTCAGAAAAGACATCAGGTTGCTAAGCCAGATTGATGATTTGGGGGGGGGGGGGGGGGGGGGGGGGGCAGGAAATTTCCATTCCAGCAGTATTCTACGCCGGGCCAGAAGGAAAGCAAATGCAAATGGATTTTTCATGCCAGGTGACAACAGGCTTGTGTTTGTTAGTACTCCAAAAACCGCCAGTTCCGCAGGTGTTACTTTTGAGCCAAAAGCCTCGTTCAAAATATCACAGACTGATAACCAAAAACTCCTCAATCTGGGGCAGGTCCAAAAAGCATGAGCCATATCTGCCTCAGCAGAGTGATAGCGAACACACCTGTTGTCAATGTCAGAATATATTTTGCTTCAACTAAATGTAGTGTAGTAGAGCCTGTGAAATACTTTAAACTGTAAATTAAGAGGAGCACAAGAGCTACCATTAACTTTAACCTTGGCCTAATCTTATCTAGTGATACCTCATGGGAAGAGGTAATCACATTTAACAAAAATGAAATATGGCCCTTATGTGGCATTGGTGTTCATAAAATATTATCCAGAGCCGATGTCAACCGTAAGGATGGGAAGTTCGAACTCAAGGACTGAACAAAGTGACGGACTTGGAAATAACGGAATAGATCTGATCGTTGTAATGGAAATCTAGCGGACAGAGCGTTGAAGTCTGCAAAGAGACCGTCTATGTAAAAGTCTCTACACCGAGCCAGGCCTGCTTTTTGCCACTGCGTGAAGGGTGTGGTCCAATCTAGCTGCAGGGAAGAGATGGTTATTAAAGATAGGGCTACTCATGGAGAAGTCTGTGAGACCAAATCGGTTTCTCAATTGTGCCCAAATTTTGAGGTTGGAGCTTACCACAGGGTTGACAGTGTATTGTGTTGGAGAAAAACTTTGCTGTGATCAGAGCAGAGAGAGATGTTGACATACAGGAATCCACCTCAGCCGTGCGCCAATCTGTTGTTGGAGACTGTGTCCAATATAAAACTTTTTGTATGTTTGAGGCCCAATAGTATTATCTGAGATTAGGAAGTGCTAAGCACTAGTCCTCTCTAAAAAGGTTTTCAATCACATAAAAATGTAAAAATCAATCCGTCTATTGAATGATATGAAGATTGGGAGACATTGAAATTGGTACAAAAATTTGAATATTTGAATATAATTGAATATATAATCTGAATATTTAAAGACAGATTTGGATATATGAAAGGGTCTACCACTGTCTAAAATCTGGAGGGCTAAATTGTTAATCGGAAAACATTCACTTTTGGATAAATTTAATTTATAACCCGAGAAACTTCCAAAATTGTTCAGTATTGCAACACACGAGACTGGGTCTGACAAATACAACAACAAATCATCAGCATATAGGGAAACTCTGTGTTCTATGCCCATTCTGCAGATTCCATGTACGTTTGGCCAAGTTTTTAATTTAATTGATAAGGGCTCCATAGCCAAGGCAAACAGGAGTGGGCTAAGTGGGCACCCTTGTCGTGTGCCTCTGGACATTGGAAAAGGTTGCGACCTCAGGGTGTTGGTTATTACTGACGCTTTCTGAGATGCATATAACAGGCGAACCCAGGCAATAAAAGTAGTACCGAACCCAAACCTCTGTAAAGTTGCAAATAGGTAGCTCCACTCAATTCTGTCAAATGCCAAACAACGTGTTTTTGCTTCTTCACAGGAGATCCTTGTTACTTGCTTGTTAACCTTTATTCTTATAAAGATAGAGGTGGCTCTACATGCCTATTTTTCACACAGAACGAGGATTGAAGATTTTGTCTTTAATCTCTTGCTCTGTGTGGACAGGAGGAATGATTATAGCCATAGTTTTGTCAATGTATATATGGGCGTGTGAGCATTGTTTAAGCCAGACTTCGATCAACCTTAACCTGTATAGGAGTCAAGTTCAAGAGTGAAGTCAGCAGCTCTTGTTAAGGCCATGAAGGGATCATCTTGTGACAGTTCTATCTGCCTTAACCAGACATTTTAACTTTACTAAAAATAATTGGGCAAACACACCAGTTGTTGGGATCTCAGTGTGCGCAAACAATTGTAGAAAAAAAAAAAACATGGCAGCCGTTATGAATATGAAAAGACTCTCCAAATTCTGAGATGTGAAATATCATCATGCAACTGCAGAATCATGGTTAATCTGGAGAGCTAAGTGGTAAAACAATAAATCAATTGACAGAGTTTGTTAATTGCCAACCATTCAGATTAGCAGTTGTTTCAGTCATGTATAAAGCCAAAAGGCTGCTAGATATCAGAGTAAACTGGATAAATCTTTGGGCAGTGGAACAGTTGGTCTGTAAAACATTTGTTTTGGGTTTGTGAAGCTGTGATGGGCATTTTATGGAGTCAAAAATTAATTAACTAAAAGACAAATGTGTCATTATTGAGAATAATCATTGGTTTCAGAGTTTGTTCAGTCTGAGTTTGTATACAAGCTGTGCCAAAACATTGATTAAACTCCTGATTCTCTCCTTCACTGCTCTCAGATCTGGACTCGCAGGTTGATTTCTGCTCCAATTTGTTTTGTGCTCGCTCAATAGTTTTGTCAGTAATGAACCTCCATTAGAAGGTGCCAATGCTATTACGCACAAACACACGTTCAATCAAAGTTGCATAGTGAAAATGAGTGTGCACTAAATTGCTCCAATTACAATAACACACAGAGACTTAAGTCATCAGATTTGACCCTGAAAAACTCATCTACCAACTTTTCTTCTTTCTCCTTGTCCGCAGTCAGTTTCTCTCTCCTTTCTGTACATGGACGGTTATCTGTAACTGACTGCAAGTCAGGTAGAGGAAAAACAGAGGTGAGGGGAGGAGGAAGTGAAGAGGAAGGAAGGAAAGGAGTCAGTCTGCGTGTTTCTGTCTTGTTTTTATGGCGACGGTTAAAGTGAAGCCAGACTCAGTGCATAAATCAAGACTTTATGGATTCATTCGGCGGCCCGAGGAGTGCCGGACGAGACAGAGGAAGAGGAGAATAAATAGACACTTTCACCGGTAATGAGGGAGGGAGAGAAAATGAAGGTTAAGGCCAATGAAGTCTGATGGAGAGAGAAACGTAAAGGCGGAGAGACACAGAGAAAACAGAGAGAGGGGATGGAGGACAGTTATTCAGGAATCCATCTTTACAAAGGTGGATGTGCCGAGAAAAATAAAGGCTGATGATTATGAATGTTGATGGAGCTTCTGCTGAGAGAGGACATCACTCTGTCAAGACAGTCTACTGTACACGAGGTAATAACCTTGTGGGGACACCAGTCGGTTTCTGGACCCACATTTTGGGGCCTCCCATCTGGAGACATAAAAATATGGAACCCTAAACAAATGTGTATTCTGTTAAGCCTGCATTAAAATTTGAGAGCATGCACACACAGATTTGTAGGAACAGAATGAGATTTGTGTGCGATGCTGACAGATTGTGTTCCTGCATGTGAGCAATCAACAGAGCTTCTGTTTCTAAAAATTATCGAAGAGGCTCACCCCCCACTTTTGGTGCTCTGAGTGCAAACTGAGTGTAATCTGTTCTGACCTGAAAGCTAAAGCCTCGTTCACACTACACGATTTTCAGCCCGATTTACCGCTCGGCGAGCGTCAGGCTGTGATCGGGGGTAAATCAGCGGTTGATCGGCGGTCGCCAGTCGTTGTGTGTGTCATGGTTTGGAGACCGGCGCCGGGTGACACAGCCGCTGTCAGCTCGTGTAGTGTGTGACCCCCTGTCACCGATCAGTCACCGCAGTGTGAACGCCACAACCACTTTAAGACTCCCGTCACAAGACGGCAAGTTGTGTAGCGTGAACGGCACGGCCGTCGGCCTCATGTGGTCTGCATGAAGGTTAAGTATCATCCTGTTAAACCCCACAACTTTAACCATAGCCTCCTAATGGGGCCAGTGACTCCGTCACAGTACTTATCATTTGCTTCAGAAACCTCCCCCACACCTTACTGAGGGGAGGCAGCGTCTGACCATCGCTTCTCCCCTCTCTATGACGGCTGGTTTTTCACTTCGCCTTGGGGTGTGGCTGTTCAGATCAGGTATCAACACTTTTGATATCCACCACAGTGGGACAACGTGTTTAAACCACTTCTTTTCTAGTGTAAATCATCCCGAGAGTCTAGAGCCACACTAGCAGCTCTGTGAGGCTGCAGCTCTGTGTTCACCATCTTACTTTAGCAAGCTCACAGTTGCTAATTAGCACTAAACACAAAGTACATAAACCAAAGTATTGGACATTGATTAAAATTAGCTCAAAGTTAGTTACCAAGTCCATGAGTCCTTACATGCAGTGGCTGGCGTATTAATCTGACCCCCCCCCCCGCCCCCCACCCCTTTAGCCAGTGTGGCTAAATTACCAAAACCACGCTGAACATACAAGCAAGTTAGCTTGTTTTGAGTTTGACTTATTTCAGAGTCAGATTAAATTTAAAGAAGGTACTTAGTGCCCTGCTGCAAACTCTCAAGCTAAAACAGTTGGAGAAAATAAAGAGAGCAGAAAGACGTGCATGCAATATGTGAGATGGTATATTTATATGACAGGAACTGCATACTCAAAATGGACTCTGCTCCTAAATCTGTGTCTGAACACTCTAGTTGACTTGCAGACTGGATAGTGGACAAATTAGTTTTGTGCTCGTTGAATTATTTTGTCATCCATGTACTTCCATAACAAACGTTATGAGAGACAGCAAGTTTGTCTCAAGAGTCAGGTCAGGAGACACACACACACACGTTCATGTGATGCCATGTGCTGAATGTTAATGCTGAACTGCAGGAAAACAAGCTCAGCAAAATAAAAGGATTACAAGAAGGCTGCGGTTATTCTATATTACAAAGTCAATCAAAAAATACAAAATCAACAAGTGTTATTCAAGTGTTAGTCCTCCAGCCCACTTGATGTAATACCTACAAAATTTTTACTGAAAGTAATGGATTCTGTTGGGCCCCATTTGATCTGTTTTCAATAGCTCCCTATCTACTGGTTGTGTCCCTGATTATTTTAAAACGGCTTGCGTGAACCCACTTTTAAAGAAACCTGGTTTAGATCCCTCCCTCCCACATAATTTTAGACCAATTTCAAAACTGCCTTTTATTGCAAAGATTCTAGAAAGAATTGTGTCCAAACAGCTGCTCACTGTGCTGGAAAATAACAAAATATTTGAAAAGTTTCAGTCTGGTTTCAGGAAGTACCACAGCACTGAGACTGCCCTGCTTAAAGTCACCAATGACCTTTTAATGTCTGCTGATGAAGGCATGTGCTCAGTCCTGGTACTCCTGGACCTTAGCGCTGCTTTTGACACCATTGATCACAACATCATGTTAGACAGACTGAGGCACTGGGTGGGGATCTCTGGTACTGCCCTAGAATGGTTTTCATCCTACCTGTCAAATAGGAAGTTTTGCGTGTCTGTAAACAACTATGTCTCCTCATTCTGTCCAGTTAAATATGGTGTGCCTCAGGGGTCGGTCTTAGGACCCATTTTGTTTTCCTTGTATCTGCTTCCCCTTGGACATATTATCCATAAACATGGCATTTCTTTTCATATTTATGCTGATGACACACAAATATACTTGCCCGTCAGATCCACAGACCCTGGAATGCTGAGTTCACTTAACAACTGCCTTTGTGAAGTTAAAAAATGGATGTCAAATAATTTCCTCCAGCTGAACTCAGACAAAACAGAAATCCTGGTCATCGGGTCTCAGCAGATGGCAAATCAAATACTGCCATCTGCTGGTTCCCTAGTAAATCACATTAAGCCTGTGGCAAAGAACCTTGGTGTTTGGTTTGATAGTAATTTAAATTTCGAGCAGCACACCACAAAGCTTGTTCAATCATGTTTTTATCAACTTAGAAATATAGCAAAAATTCGATCTATGTTAACTTTTAAGGACACCGAGACCATTTTACACGCCTTCATCTCATCACGCCTTGATTATTGCAACAGCCTTTTCACCTGTTTAACCCAAAAATCTATTGATCGACTCCAGACTGTCCAGAACTCAGCTGCCAGGCTTTTAATCAGAACAAAGAAATATGACCACATTACTCCTATTTTAGCTTCATTACACTGGCTCCCAGTATGTTTTAGAATTGACTTTAAAATTCTATTGATCACTTTTAAAGCTCTTCATGGCCTCTCGCCTTGTTATATTTCTGACCTTTTAGTCCCATACGCACCAGCACGTACCTTGAGATCCTCGGGCAGAGGTCTGTTGTCTGTTCCAGAGTCTCGACTGAAAACTAAAGGGGACAGAGCGTTTGCTGTCAGGGCCCCGAGGCTCTGGAACAGCCTGCCCGAGGAAATCAGGTCGGCTGAGTCAGTGAACTCTTTTAAGTCCCTTCTTAAAACATACTTTTATAGGAGCGCTTTTCCCGATCTTATTTGACTTTATTTTATCCCTTTTATTTTACTAATTTTATATAAATTTTTCATGCTCTTATCTTGTTTTTTTTGTATTATTCTTTACACTTGTTAAAGCACTTTGTAACTTGTTTTGAAAAGTGCTCTACAAATAAGGATTATTATTATTATATTATTATTATTCCATTTCTCAATACTTCCTGTCTGATGGTTTTAAATTTTTTAATTTAAATTTTTCTAATGTTTTTAATTTTTAAAAACCAAATTTTTATATTATATATATATATAAATTATTTTACATTTTAAAACAATTTTAAACTTAAATATTTTTACAATATTTTGTAAAAATTACATTTTATTTAATATTTAATGTATTATTAGATAAATATTTTCAAAATAAATGTTTGCCTGTGCTTTTGCACATTTTAAAAATCAACCTACTTTTTGTTTCAATGTTTTCCATACCCTGTAGCACACTGAAGTGCCCTGCTGTATGAATTTAGCTACACAAATAAAGTTGCCCTAATGAAGGAACATGTCACCCAACCGTGTGCCTCACTGGTGGGTTTTTATAGTTTCTGGACAACGATGGAGCTCTTTGGCTCAAAGGAAGAAGCGATATCAGGCTGTGATACACACACAGTACTTGTTAGTAAATGTATTCAGATTTATCTTTTGAATTAAAAAAGTTAAAATATCAACTTAGTGCTTCCATATTAACTGTAGTTCAGATTTAGTGGTTCTTTCATTTTGCAGCAGCGGAGCAAAGGTTGGGAAAGATTTCACTGTCTCTCGGATGTCTTGCACCAGAAGTAGACCTAAATATGATTGGTCATCCAAAAATCTATAAATCAATTTTAGTGAAAGGAATGCCCCAAAGCACAGAATCAGTGAGTGATAAGAATATTTGAACAAGTTTGGATTTTGATCTTTTTGTTTGTTTTACTTGTATATTTTATTGTCCAAGTTTTTTTTATTAACATGCACTTACCATTTTCAATAAATTAAATGAAAAAAACATTTGGTAAAGAGAGTCAACAGTATGACTTCACCCACCTTCACCTCCCCATCAGTCTGCACAGCTTTGGAACAGGAAGTCCTCCTCGCTGGAGTGGCGGGGCTCTGGACTCCCAGCCACGCCCTCACACGCCTGCCGTCAAAGCCGACTGGCTCGCTGTGCTGTCCGTCAGGAGTCGAGGTCGCCCACTGGTGTCCACTGAGCAGAGTCCAACCCCTCTGGGAAAACAGAACAAACACTCAGGTGCTTGAGTTTATTTGGGAAATAGTTCTGTTCCACTCACGAGCTTTATAAAGCTTGTCCAGAAGATTCAGCCTCTAAAAGATTCTTATCTTGTTGAAGGATTTCATGGCTAGGTTCATGGCTGTCATTTTCCAAATCGTACCATCCTGGTTTTTGATTCATTTCCAAGTTAATTTTAGAATACTATAAAAATCCAACACGGGCTCCTCTCAAAGCGCCATCATCGCCGCGTGCTACTTCAGTTGCATTTCTGTTTGCTGCATTCAAGGTCGTTTCAATATTGGCAAGTGTTGGCTGCCAAAAAGAGAAAACTTTCTAAAAAATAACAAATTTTCTATTTTCCCGAATCAGAAATACCTTATTGATCCGAGGGGAATTGTTGCATTGCTAATTAAGACTAGACCTTTTTTCCCCTGACTAAAAGGGGACGATGACGAGACTGTGACAATGTCCTTGAACACTGACTGTGGCTATATTAACATGCAATACTGTTGACTCAGTTTAATGAGGAGACAAAATATTACAGGCCATATTTTCTCTCTCTAGATTAATTTAAATTAAAATAAACTGTGTTCATTCAGCGGTATTTTATAATTCCTGTGCTTTGAATGCTGGCCGGATTTTTTTTAAATGAGTGAAATAAAGACTAAAATGATAAATCTCTATTTTGGTTCGAGCAGATTGACCATAATGCTAATCAACTAAAATGATGGTTAATGATGATTTTTTATTAACACAGACAAACACAACTTTTACGGTTTTATTTACTTATTTAATGAAATGTATGAAGTTAATTGTTCTTATGTAATTTATTTGTAGCTTTGGCAATATTGTTGTTATACATTCATGCCAATAAAGCTGATTTGAACTTGACTAAAACTAGACTAAAATGCTTTTGGTTTTCTTTTGACTAAAATACCCAGACTTTTAGTCAACTACAACGTGATTTTAAAAAATGTATACAGTGGACTAAATATGACAAAAACTAACAAGGACATTTGAGACAGGACTAAGACTAATATTTTCAATGGCTGACAAAATTAACACTAATTAATGAAACATTAAAGAAATAGAAATAATAATGGCAAGTAGAAATGAGAAAAATAAAATATACGTCTAAAAATAGAAACAGAAGTGTGGAAATATGTACAGTACTGTATGTGTAATAAATAAATAGTAGTAACAAGAATAAGTACTGATAATGTTGACAGATGGAACCGATTTAAAAATCAAGCGTGATGTTAAAGAAAGAGAAATTTAGAAAAGTAAGACGACGAGTAGTTGCTACTGCAACAGGCTGTGTGCACTGTTGGCACATGTACACGGAGATGCCCTATATTTTTGTTTCTCAACGACCATGTTCAGAGCAGTACGATGCAGCCAGGCGCTGGTGAGGCACAGGCAGTTTGGTAAGAATCAAAAATGAATAAGGGGCATGCTGGACACTGAAACCGACTTAGGGCTTCTTGGGATTTAAACTTTGCTGCAAGTGAGAAATTTGTTTTTAATGTTTCATAAAGTATTGTGCTACAACTGTACTTTTATTGCCATTTTTACACAATAATTTATGTAGAACTTGTGATCACATGATCCAAGTCCTCTGTATCACACATGCAGTTTTTCTGATGAAGCATAATAAAAATACAACGCTCTACCCGACACTTGCACAGACGTGCAACACACGAGAAAGTCATTAATCCCTCTTGTACTTTTTTTGTTGTTTTAAATTGGTCCAGAGCTGAACTTGTCTTCGTTTCCGATTCAAGGTAGTCCTCAGATGTCTGAGCATCCTTGAATGTACCACTTCAGGACAGTTTAAAAAACGGTTCCTCCTCCAGCTTCATTAATAAACAACATTAGCATAACTAAGAGAAATAAAGCAGACTCCATCTGGATTGTGACAGACTTTCTATCTGCAGCAAGTTTCGGTCCCTGCAGGATAATTTTCAAAGAAATAAACTGAAACCACTGACAGTGATGCATTTGATGCAGGTACGTGTTTTGAGTCGTATTCAGAATTCATGTGACGTACAAGCACCCAGAGACGAGGTCACACGGTTGCAGATTTAATAAAGTACAAGCACATCAAATCCTCTGGGCAGACAGTGCCGAGCCGAGCTGAGCCTGTGGGGAGGGCGTGCTGAAATCACACCTCTGAGAGCCCAATAATAAATAAGATTTATAAAAAAAAAATAGAAAGTGACACGAGCGTGCTCACACTTTGATGTCTTTGTTGAGATGCTGCAGCCGTAATCAGATGCTAATTCAGTTTTACGTGTGTGTCTTTTCCTGTTGGGCTTCTGGGTTCACCGACAGTGCAACAGTGTGTGGGTGTGTGTGAAACAGAGAGGAAGGAGCTGCAGGCTAGCAGAGGAGGATACTCAACTGACTTTAATATTTCACATTTCTGGCCTTGCCCCCCCCCCCCCCCCCCCCATTCATGGACGCCCGTCTCAGTTTTTCCTCCATTTTCATCTCTTTATTTCTGTTCCTCAGTTTCCCGCTGCCTTTCTGTCGTGCCGCAGCTGACACACTTCCAGTTCTCCACTCCTGTGTCTTGCCAAAATAAAAATGAAAAAAGGAATCTGATGTACCCGACAACATATAGAGGGGCCACATCCTGCAGGCGTCATCAATAAATCAGCAAAAAAGGTAAAATGTTGTAACCGGCTCATAAGGCCGACACCAGCGCCAGCGAACAATTTTAGATAGCTGGTGTATCAGAACATCAGTGACTGTGTGTGTGTGTGTGGTTGTGAGACAGACAGACAGACGAAGCCTCTGGGCCACGTAGCATCTGGGTCAGAGCACAACAACAGAAAGGAGAGAGAGTATACAATGAAATTAGAAGCGGCCTGATGTGGCATCTCTGCAGTCGTTCTCCTCAAACACATCAATTTGGATGTTGGATGCAAGTCAGATCAATTCAGCACCTGTTGCTAATACAGAGTAACCAATAAAACTATACAATGTGACTACATATGTATGACACTGCTCCTCTGTGTATCAGCTGACAGGATGAGGGTGTTAAGGTGGCTGATATTACCGGATATTACTACCTGGTCAAGAAAGAAGATCATCTCTGTGTCACGGTTTGTGTTTCTATGGAAACTCAGACCACAGACAAGCTAACAGTAACTTTAGCATTTAACTGAAATCACGATGGATGTTGAGTTGAAGCCAAAGTAAGCCGCAGTCCTCAGCTGAAAATGTGACCACGTGCGTTTGTTGTTCTCCTTTTTGGGGCGTGAGCTGTGACCTCACAGTCAGGAGGTAACTGGGTGTCGGCGAGCTGCAGCTCTCTGTGGTTCAGACTATCCCTGCTAGCTGCGTGAGCTGATCCATCCTTTCACCCAGATTCTTTGTCTTTATAACAATAAACAGCTCATTTCTCGTTTCACATTTCACCTGTGTTTTCTTGACTAAACCTGGTTTGGAGACCAGCGTCAGGTGACTCAGCCGCTGTCAGCTCGGGTGGTGTGTGACCCCCTGTCACCGATCAGTCACGTAGTGAGAACGCCACAACCACTTCAAGACTCGGCCGCCGCCAAGCAAAAGTACTTCTTAAACGACGCATCGACGAATAGTTTCGAATACTAAAATCATCGTTAGCTGCAGCCCTACTGGAAAACATTGTACAGAGAGTTGGAGGACTAAAGCAGATCTTTAACAGGTACTCACAGTAAGTAACTACAGGAATAATAAATGAAAGTTTTATTTTTTGTAAGCAGATTCTGTGTTTCAATAGAGAAGATAATTGTCCCTTCATTTCTCATACAGGGACACCTGAGATTATGACAAACCCGGTTTTCTCCTTTCTTCTTCTGACAATGCTGAATGAATTGAATTGATAACGAACTCACCAATTCTGCTTCCTGGTTGTCGTTGCTGATATCGGACTGAGAGCCGAGGGAGCTGAGGTAGCTCCGCCTCTTCAGACCGTCTCTGTGACACAGGCCTACACGCACAGTCCATTAAAGACAACTTACTTTCATTATAACGTTATAAAGTGATAAAGTGACCGTGGCCACAAACAGAACCGGGCTGAATGTAAACGTGCAGCTACTCAGAAACAACAGTGAAATCAAAGTTTTTATTCTTCTGTAGTTAAAAGTTTCTGTCATGTCCTACCAGTGCGGATACTGAAATACGACGAATCTGCGTCGTCACGGGAGACAGAACGTCCGATGTCAACTGAGGGGTCCCACTCCAGCCCCAGGTGCTCATGGGTAGGCGACGACGGGGAGGGAGGAGGAGGAGGAGGGAGGTGCATGGGTTCAGGCGGATCTGAGGAGATGGCGAGGGCGGGGTTAGCTGACTGGCTGAAATCTAGAGAAAGGATGGAGAAAGAGTTTGATGGATTATTGGATAGATTTGTATTTTTGTCACATGATGTGGTTTATCCTTTTTACATGTCCGTTTACCTTTAGGATGGTTGGAAATTGCAGGGAGGTCCAGGTTGGACTTATCAAGCGCTCCCTCTTCCTCTAATAGACCCTCTGAAGGACAACCAGAGTCTGAAGCCTGAGACAGAATCCAGTCATCCTCAAATACCTGGAGGAAGAGGAGGAAGGGAGGAGGAGGAGGAAGGGAGGGAAGGAGGAGGAGGAAGGAAGGAAGGATGGAGGGGCAAGGAAGGAGGGAGAGGGAGGAGGAGGGGGGAGGAGGGAAGGAAGAGGATGGAGAGGGAGGAAGGAAGGAGGAAGGAGCAAGTAGGAGGAGGAGGAGGAGGGAGGGAGAAGGAGGAGGAAGAGGATGGAGGGAGAGGGAGGAGGAAGAGGATGGAGAGGGAGGAGGGAAGGAGCAAGGAAGGAGGGAGAAAGGAGGAAGTAGGAGAAGGAGGGAGGGAGGGAGAGGGAGGAGGAGGGAGGAGGAGGAAGGAGGAGGAGGAGCGACGATAATATATGAAAAACAAGATTTCAGACCAAATTGTTCAGGAGTTTATGTTGCGGCAAACTGACATTCAGGGTGGAGGAAGTGAAAGTAGCAGCAGTACAACTATGTCAACATTTCACTACAAGTCCTACATTCAAACATTTACTCAACTAAAAGTAATGAACTACTATTGCTAAAATGTACTCCAAGTATCAAAAGGTAGAAGTACTGATTATGCAGTTAGTGTTGTTATATTATTACTGGTGCATTCATGTGTGAGCAGCATTGTGCCGGAAGGAAGGAGGAGCTCGCTTTCATTTCTTTATACTGCCGGTCGTATTTTATAAGATCATTGTACATTTTGTCTATAAAATCCTAAAAGTAGGGAGCAGCTCTGACTGTCAGATAAATGTTCTGTCCCGTTATTTCCCACCACTGCTGTCAAGCAAACGGACCTTTACGTCTCAAACGGGTGCCGTGCTCCTTTGAAACCGTTTCTCCGCTATAGAGCTTATGAATATTGCGGCGTCGTTTAAAACACATACACTGTGCTCGTCAGTGGTTTATGACTGAATTGAACTGAATCTGCGATTGTGCTGTAGAGGACTTTGTATCGGCACCTCTGCTTATTTCCTCCTCGTGCACAGATCAATTTAGTTTTATTCTTGCATGTATGTTAACTCCATGATGTCACAAAATAAATGAAGCTACTCAGCCAGTGAGAAACAAGAGTGCGTGAGGCCTTCTGGGTTATCCTGAATTAGGCTTGAGACCGTTTGGAAGGTGAAGGCAGGGACAGTCTAAGGAGAGAGTGCATTGTGGGAACTGCAGCCACATTTGGAGGTGCTTTGAATCTGATTTCTGCGGAAGCATCTCGGTTCCCTCGCAACACGACACATCAAATCCAGAGTGCGTCATAGTTGCTGAGGAGAATCCATGCTGCTACTAGCAGAGCGACAGTCCGTTGGAAAGCCACATCACCAGCGTACGTAGTTAACGGACACCTAACGTGTTAGAAAAGCAACCCATGCAGATAAGTCGGTGCAGTCTGGACATACAAATCCATTCTGTTCACTTGCAAATAAGAGTGCAGACAGACAGTCGGATTGGAGAAACACGTCTGATGCCTGAAATCTGAACAAAGCATAAAAGTCAAGACCCCCCTACCTTCATGAAAGTGCAATAGTAGATCACAGGGGTAGTAAATCCAGTAAATCCAGTATACCTTTCACGTAGTACTTTTAAATATCTTGTGACCTGGATTCACATCCATATGTGTTTTTAGACGTAACTGTAGAGTATTTTCCATTTCAGCGGTTACTGTGTGTGTGTTTGTACCAGTCTCATGCTCAGCAGCCGGGTGTGTGTTCGTGCGATGTTGTTGTAGACGAGGCTGCAGCGCTGCAGCAGTTCCAGCAGCCGGCTCTCTACGTGCTGAGCGTCAGCCGGTTGGCTGCGCTGGATCAACGCCTCGCCACGCCCCAGCAGGGCGTTCACACGGCCCGAGTTAACGCACACACACTGCTGGAAGGACTGGACGGACACACACACATAAAAAAAAGGTAAATATACAGGAGGTGGGAAAAGAGACATGCATTTAGTTATACAGACAGACACACACCTGGAGTCGTCGCAGCTTTTCACAGGTGTTTCCTGTCTGGTGATCCACCTCGGTCAGACGGACGTCCAGGTCAGCCAACCAGAGAGCAAGCTCGTCCCTCTCTGCCTCAAACCCCTCCCACTCTGAGACAAAGAGCTGAGAGAGAAAGAGTGTTTCTCCATCCTCACATCTTTCAGTAAAACCTTTTCACCATTTTCCTTTAAAGCACACTGTTCTCACAAATGACCACAGTTACGGGACACAGACTAACTGATAAACGCGTCGTCCAGTGGATACTTTACGGTGTTAAAGTAGGTAAAGCCCGGAGCTGCTGCTGCAGTAAAACCACCACAAACTGATTAACTGAAAGGCTTTCTGGGCTATAAAACAAACATTACCAAGAGTAAAATTAGATTTGAGGAACTCTGACCTTCAGCTGTCTGGTGATGGATTCCAGTTTGGCGTTCACATTGTCCCATCGTTGCCCACACTCTCTGGTTGACGCCAGCAGCCGAGCCTGCATGGACCCCTGAAACAGCCGAGTCAGCGCTCGGTTCCTGCGGGTCAGGCTGTCTAACTGGACGAGCCGAGATCCCGCCTCGCACCGCAGCCTCTGAACACAAACAAGAAGCACGCAGGCAACATGAACACACAACTGCAGCTACGTGAAGGAACTCTGGCTTCTTTAGAGGACTTCATTACCCATAAGTCCTGTGTGTTGAAGTGAAACAGGTAATTGTTTTTCATTTTTCATGCAGTGGTATTTTTTCCATGTGTAAAGGTAAAAACCATCCGAGCACTCTCTGTAAGGCCTCCGAGATAAATAAATAATAATGATATAAGATATGATGAATGATATAATAATATAACAATAAAGGGGCTGACGGATTTTAAAAGGAGAGCATCTTATTTCCTGATACAGGGTTAGGGGTTAGGCCGCAAACAGAGCTGGTTCTTTCTGCTGGGCACATGAAACTTGCTGAGCCCTGATACTTACTACTGTTGTGAGTCACACCTAAGACAAACTTAAATCATCGTACAAAAACAAAACCTGCTGTCAAAAAATTGCCAATACAAAGTTTGTGGAGCAAAGTAGAGATTCTGCCTGACTACAGCTTTATTAAACATGTACAACGGGAACAAGACATAAAACATTGTGTAATTCTACATTTAACAAGGTTTGCTAACAGTTATTCACATCCAGTCTCACTTCGGGCTGTAACTAAGTCATTGATTAAGGCGAGGATTATTACAGGGTTGCCACAGACACAACCCCCCCCCCCCAGAGATTTTGATTTATTGATTGCTGTCAGGATGTAAAGACAACCGATTACCTACCCTAGCTTTAATCAATATATACTTGTTTCAAACTAATTGTTGCAGCTCTAGTTTCACTTTATACCAGTCAAAACATTTAATTCAGGATCAGATTTCTCAGCAGTGACCAACCTGACAGCAGAATTTAATTTGGGCAAACAAGGAGGACCTACAGCTTTTCAGTCGGTGGGGATGGGTGCTCTGCTGCACACTCAGACTGTGATTTAAGGTGGTAAAACGGCTGGATTTCCCCATAAATATTGCCTGCTTTCTCTTCACGACCGGCTGCAGTGATGTTTACGCTCTACCTGGATTATATCTTTAACCTGTACCAATACATTTATCTAAAACACATAATTCTTTGACAGAACAGAGATTTAATAAATTAAATTGATATTAATGAAATGCAGATCAATCCAAAGTGAAAACTGTAATAAATAAGGTTGTGAAAAAAAGTTTTTTTATATTACTGAAAGTTAAAAGACTCAATATTTCCTTTGATGGGAAATGTAATTTCATTTTAATCATTTAGCTGACGCTTTTATCCAAAGCGACTTACAATTGCTGTTCATGTCAGAGGTCGCAACGAGGGGTTAAGTGTCTCGCTCAGGGACACATTGGTGGACGTGTCACAGTTGAACCCAGGTCTCCCACACCAAAGGCAGGCATCTTATCCATGCGCCATCACCTCCCTTTTAACCCTTTAAATCATTGTGCGAATGAAAATTGCTGGAGGTGAACTTATTCACAAATTATGTTTTAATTCATCTATGGGACCAAGTTTTGTTCCTTTCGTTTTATTTCTCCTCACCTCAAACTTCCTCTGTTCTTCCTTGGCAGTGACAAAGGTAATGTGGGTGGGGTTGGAAGAACTGACAGCCTGCTCAGCCAATCGCAGCCAGGTGTCCAGGAGGGCGTGTTCTTTCATAAACTGATGCCAGAGGACCCACCTCCTCTCCAATCTAGAAAGACAGAGAAAAAGTCCTAAATGTTCTTGTTGCAGTACTGCAGCGGGGATGACTCTCCAACTAGAAAAAGTACCATGGGACGCCGCTTGAAGTCGGATTTCTTACACGTGAACTTGGAGAAAAAATATGTACCCCGACTTCAGGAGTAGCAGCTGAATGACGTCCCACAACAATGGCATGGTAAACCATCAACTAAAAGTATATTTGCAGGTATTTAAATAGAAAATAAGACTTACTATCATATAGTAAAACCTGTTCTGCGTGTAAATTGAAGTAGAAATATGCTGCTAATGTTTTTAGGTAGCTGGTTACATTAAAGGATCTCAGGTTACTCAGTAAAATGTTAAAAATGCCAAAACATATGAAAACATTAGGAAGCACAGCCTACAACACTGACTGACTTGAGGATTACCAACTGACACAGTTATCTAGTAAAAGCTATTTATGTCAGTTGTTTTCATTTAAACGTCAACCCTAATAATGAACTCTGCTGAGAGTTCAACTGTATGTCCACTTTGTCACGGTCAGCCATGTTTTTCGATCACTTTCGGCGTAATACCAAGCACCTGGAACGCTTTATTTCAACTTTGAAATTTCCCAGTTCTGAGCAGTCAGGAACGCAGCTTTACTCCCAACTCGTCATATACGGACGCTTGGTCAAGACTCCTTGGCGTTGCTTTTTAACACCCTGGGTACCCTTTAAAGTTGTTTTTTGAACGTGTGAGGCTCTGCGGGCAAGAATAAATGTGCAACATCCGGTGAGACTTTCAAAATAAAAATGAAATTGTTTTGTTAGGTTTAGGAAAACATCATGGTTTGGGATAAAACAATTTTGCTTCCCACAGTGAGTTTAAAACTGATGCTAAAGGTGTCATGACCACAGATACTCAATTAAATCCAGAGATTTCCCTCAAAGATCGTGGTTACAGAAGGATTGTTACAGTTTGATTTATGAATTTGTCAGCCATGAATGTATAATATTTGTCAAACCCTTGGGAGTCCAATATGAAGTTCTCATGATCTATCCATGGAGGACACTCACGATCCACATCCCTGCAGGTCTCCCTCTTGGCTCCAGCTGCCGTCCACTTGCCGCGTTTCCTCCCCATTCAGCTCCAGTGGAGACGAGGTGGGAAGGAACGGAGACTCCGACAGATCCAGAAACAGCTCCATGTCGCTCACGTCCTCTGCAGGCACAACATCACTTCCTTCAGTGATTGGGATGGCACCACCGTGGAGTTCAGAAAAGGGCGGGTCCGCTGGGAATCCAGGCATCCTGACATCACATGACCTTTACCTGTTGAGAAAACGGGTAGAGGACTTTTTTAAAGTACGGAAATGATACGTCCCATCCCTCTACAAAGGGGCGCAAGAAAATAATTTCAAATCATTGCTAAATTTCTACCCAATTCAAAGACAAGTGACAAGCACACGAAAGATTCACACGATGAAGACCAAAAAAAAAAAAAAAAAAAAAAAGGGTGTAATGGTGCGTTCAGACCAAAAGCAAAGTGAGCGTTGGGGGCGTTGAGTTTACATACAAAGTCAATGCAAAGACGCGGATAGCCGTGATTATTGGTCGGGCGGTGTGGAGTGCTTGCTGCCGGCGACGCGAAGGGCTTAGCGTGAGTTGAAAATTTTCAACTCGAGTCGCATGAACCTATCAGCATTGAGTTTATCCACACGTCACCAACGTCTTCAGAGCGTTGTATGGAGAGGACCAGGCGGACCAGAGAAGTTAAACACCGCTGGCCAACGGAGAGCTGCTAAACTACGGGAAAAAGCAGAGGACTGAGCAGGGAGCAGCGCCGCAGCTTTCGGACAAATAAACCCCTGTAGTCGGTCTGGATTCTGCTCTGACAGCTACGCCGTTTACCCGCAGGAGGAGCTCAGAGTTAACTGCTTTTATTAAATTAGCTTTTTACTTTAGTTTTTGGGATTACAGCTTGATTTATCTTCACTGGAGCTTCTCAGCAGCTTCCGTTCACATCCGGTTCCACTGTTGTTGTTGTTAGCGTCGGTCGGCACCCAGAGCTCTGCTGGACTACGACTTCATATTTATATAAAAACCGGACAAAACTGGACATTACCCGGAGAAAAGAAAGTGAGGAGGTTGAACTACCTCTTAAGTTCAGAAAATATGTGTCTGTAACTTTATTCCAGCTGTCGTTGTACTTTACTGTGAACAGGTTAGCATAGCATAGCCCTGATCGAACCAAACTCCATTCAGAAAACAAACATTTTAGTTGTTGTCCTGCTGACAGACCTGACAAAGCATGAATTCATGTGTTTAACAAATCTTCATCATATTTTAGTTTTCCATTTATTGCTAATAAATCCCAGCGTAATGTTTAGTTTGGGTTCATACAGCTGTAGTAATAAGAGTTGTGTTAATTCCCGTTATCGTGTTGTGTGTGAACACTCAGCAGTTGTCCAGCGATAAAAACTCTGCAACAATTATATTTGCATTTGGTCTGAATGCACAGTAAGGGTTGAAGGTTTTGTGGTAATTTTAAAATTATTAGTATTTAGGCTTTAGTATTTAGCTATGACAGATGTCAAGTTCTTGATATACACACAGTACACAATTAAAAAATTAAATATACAGGCAGTAAAACAGAGACAGTAAAATACATACGGTGAGATTCTAGTTGTGGTTTTAGATGCAAAGTGTAATGAACGTTGATAAAGTGTAGTCTCGCTTATACAATGTGTGTCATTGTGTGCAGTGAGACTGACTAATGGATCAAATTATTAACGAGGTGTCTTTTGAAAGTCATCATTGTGTGAAGACACGTGCACACTTGTTAAAGATTTCAGCTTCTAGCAGAGTCTTTGCTCCGGAGGAGAGAAGTGAAGGAAAGCAAACAAATCCTAAATCCTCAGAGCAAAGAGACAGACCTCTCTCAATCACACACACCAATGATTCACTATTATGTCCAACACACACATCCGCAGCAACCACACACACATCCAAACAGCAGTAATTCACTATTATCACCAACGAGGACACATTTACGCTGCACCTTTCCTTTACTTTGTGTAATTATCTCCTGATTTACAGACGCAGAGGCTTCTTCTCTGAAATGGCTAAAGTTGAAAACGCACCTTTTTGTTCCTCCCTCCACTCTACGATGGCTTCTCTTTTTCCCCCACCCAGAATTAAAACCTCTAATAAGTAAAGAAGACAACTTTCTGTGTCACAGATGGAGGTAAATGTGTTAATAATCATACAGATACTGGGCTCATTTATGATTATTGTTCTTACCAAGAAGCTTTTAGTCGTTTTGTTTTTTGTGTTTTTAGTTAACTCATTCTGTGCAGCTTCCTACGCTGTGTCTCAATTCACGCTCTTACAGATTCACACTTACTGCTTTGAGTGCACAAGTGCGTTCACGCTGACAAGTACGGGCAAAAAGCAGTGCACTATGAGCACCCAGATGGTGCACACATAACGATCAAAAAGTTGCACGCGGGACGCTGGACCCTTTCTCACCCTCAACGGTCGCCATCTTGGCTACGTAGCGGAAGGGGAGGGACCAAGTTTTGTTCAAACTTGTGAAAATAGACGAGGAAGCTTCAACAGTTGCGATCGTAAACTTCGAATTAGCACGTTCATTTTGAAATTGAAGTCAAGTGAGCAAACAAGCTGGCAAATGTTTTGGCGAGTGATAAGTCAAATGACGGCGATAATGATCCGCATGGTTACAATTCGCTATTAAAGGAGACCTATTGTACTTTTCCACATTTCATGACTTATCTACAACATTATAATGTTGGATGTTCATGTTAAAAATGGCCAAAGCTTCAAATAATGAGGTTAAAGTATTTAAAAGCCAGACGGAGCCGCTGTTCCATATATGGTCATGTGCTCCCATAGCAACGGCACGGCAACGCTCAGTCTGCCTGTTCCGCCCAGCGACTACAACAGCCTGGTAACATGCTTCAGGTCTTGGCCAATCAGAAGACAGTGGGCTTTGAGAGGGGGGCCTTAAAGAGACAGGAGCATCTACAGCTTGTTCCAGACAGAGGCTGAAATCAAGGCTTTTTTGAACTTTGAATCATGCAAAGCTGCTACACAGAACTACAATATAGGACTGGAAAAGCAGTTTAATGTGTCTTTTAAAAAGAAGAAGTAGTAGCGGTTAGATGTCGTCATTTCCAGTAAGTGATTTGAAACCACACTACCCTGTCGAAATGTACGAACAACTCAAGTAAGTAAAGAGCGTACACAGTGTACTACTTACTGAGTGTACTAACAGAAGTATCCAAATTGAGACACAGCTCTAGATTGGTGCGTGTTCTCTCTTTGCCTGCGGTCACTGAATCTTCCACCCATCTGTTGACATCTGGATCATAGGTGAACACGCTGATCATAGATGGTGAAACATATTGAATCTTGACCATTATTTTGTGTCATATCAATCAATTGCCTCATCTTTAATTCAATATGTTATGTCCATTAGGGGAAAGAAGAACTCCAGGACAAGCTGACAAACACACAGACCTGACATGAAGGTGTTTCCTTACCTGCATTCTCCCCTTCTTCCTTGCTCCCTTTGTCTGTATTCTACTCTGCATTTTATTCACTTATTTAATTACTTTAATTTCCTCTCACTTTTCTTATCATCATCTCTCCTGTCCTCATGTCCTTCTTCCTTCCTCAGATAAAAAACACTCATCCAGAGCAACTTTGTGTGTGAGTGTGTCAACCGGATAACGTCCGTTCCCAGGTGGACAGACACACACACACACTTCAGCCTCCCAGACTCATAAATCAAGCGCTTCCTCCCGCCCAGCAGGTGGCTGATCAGGCCAAGGGCTCATCCTCTAAACTCCCACCCAGAGGTGTGTGTGTGTGTGTGTGTGTGTGTGTGTGTGTGTGTGTGTGTGTGTGTGTGTGTGTGTGTGTGTGTGTGTGTGTGTGTGTGTGTGTGTGTTAATAGCAGAGTTATGAGGCCAAGGCTTTCAGCCCTGCACTGCTGAGAGGCCACATAGATCCAACTCACTGTCTGCCTGTATCTGGGTGTGTGTGTGTGCGTGGATTTCATAGTCTGCATGTGTGTCCCAGTGTTTAATATTCCCATCAGATCAGTGACTTATCATCCGTGTTTGGATTAAAGACTGTATGGACCTCATTCTCCACATGTTTTAGGGTTAATGTAACTATCAGGACCGTGCTTAGGTTAATGTTTGGATTAGACATCTAGATATTAGACAAATATAGAGGGACAAATGCGTGACCATGCAATGACATCCAGAGTGCAGAACATGAAACCTGGCCTGAGCTTTGTGCTCTAACCAACCAGACAAGAAGAAGGTTGCAAGTCATTGCCTGTAACAAATGTTTTCAGTGAACAAAATCCAAGCAGCGTTTACGTTTAATACAAAATGTATGACGCAAGACCATTTATTAGTGTTTAAATGCAAGACAGAAGAAGGGGCTGAAGTTTCAGTGGTCCAACATCACAGCAAGTACCCGTGTCCTCCTCCTCCCTTTGTTTATTACAAAAAAAGCTCCTTACAGAGAAATAAGCACTCTCACAAATATCTTTCTCCTCATAATGGAGTCACACACACACACTCTTTTCTGTTCTGCCCAAAAACAAATACCCCCACCCCCACCTTATAAAATGTAAACATATGAGGAACAACAGACCGACAGGCAGAGGTAAACAAAGACAGGTTCAGTTCCAGACCAGGTGAAGAAATTTACCACCTCAGTCTCAAGAGAACAAACATTAAAATGAACATCTGTTGAACATGTGGAGACACACACACTTTCCCCCACTGAGCTGAAAGTTCCATTATGTAGATTTCCCAGACGGGGGAGAGAGCATCTTTATCTGTTGATGAGTCACCAGCTGCCTGCAGCTCAGTGTTGAACACCAACACTGCTGCTCACACACACACACCCCCACCCCTAGCTTAATGACTCCTGTGGACATTGTTTTCATTCATTTCAGATCCGCTTTTAACTTTTAACTTCTGGTCTGTATTGCAGACAACAAAAACAGAGTCTCAGTCCGGATCAAGGCCTACATGCTACACTGGCGAATACTTGATCTGCTTCCCCCTGTCTTTATGCTAAGCTAGGCTAACTGGTTGCAGTTATTCCTCTGAATTTGTAGCGAACAGTCCAGTACCCAAGTGAATGCAAAGCCAACAACAGGTTTGTGTCTGGTAGTTTTCCACGGGTGTAGGCAAGATTTGAATATGAGGCAGAGACACAGCTTCATTTGCATCAGCTGCATTAACGCAGGGTTACTAACTGTACACAGGTCAGACATTAGAGAA